TGAGTTCCGCCTTTCCAGAGAAAATACAGGCTTGCGTTTTGGTGGCGTCGATTTGGTTGTTAGTTCCCCAGACTGTTATTTCTGCAAGATCTTCATTGAATACATTGGCCTTTGTCGCAAGTTTTCATTTTCGATAATAGATGGTGAGTCGTATGAGGGTAGCTTGTGGAGCAGTCCTTGGTGCCAAAAACGGTCGAATGCCTTCAATATATCTAGCGCTACAGCAAGAGATTCCCTATGTTTTTTTATGAAGTTTGCCATTTATGGGTGTCGTAGGCAAGTAAAGTGAATCTCCAGTTGATCTTTGATAGCGAAAGCCATATTGTCTTTATGAACTCAATGTTGATGGCAAATTATACAGATGTTTAAATGAACTGCCAATGTATTTAAACGAGATGTCCTCGAAAATTTCGGAAAAACTAGAAATACAATACAGGTTACCTATGATTCCACACTGCATGTCATTCAAAAGAAACTTCATTTGTACAGTTGATAAAGAGTAAGTAATTTGCATGCACATTGCCCCTAACACACTAACACAATTATGTCCCATGGAAATCCTTAGGACGTCCTGTCGGGAAATTCAGGACGTCCATGGGACGTTCGAATTTGGTACCATGGACGTATAATGGACGTCTGTGGGACGCAGAAATGTCCCACTTGAGGACCAACTAGTAACGCCCTTGAGGGATGTCCCTCGGATAACTATCGAATACCCAAATCCTACAATATTCCTCATCAAGCACTACGGAGGACATCCTTAAGACATCCGTAGGACAACCTATCAGCAATGCTGAGAGATATCAATTGGATGTACATAGGATGTCCCAGGGACGTACGAATTATTCTTGGATTTGAAATTTTCTGGGTGTCCCTAGGACAAGATCTTGCATAACTGATGAGGACATCCAGTTGAGTTGATGGTCCGTAAAAGGTCCCCAATAGATCATTAAAAATATTCCCAAGGATGTCCAATGGACTCACGTGAAGAACATTGACAAGAAGTATGTATAGCCTACGAGCAATCATTCGTCGGCGAAGTGTAAGTTAACGTCCTCGCAGGGACAACATATTGAGAGTACCGACTGGGACATTTCATGGTTGTGTAGAAGGGACATTGTATACGATCTGAAGTCATGCCAGAATATGTACTACTCGGGACATCCGATAGATGTCCCTGAAGGAACGATTAAAATCATATCCTATCAGGGACATGCCAAGGACGTCCTTGCATGGACATTCTACAATATGTACCACGTGGGACGTCTAAGGGATACTAACTATTTCTAGGACATTTGGAATGATGTACCTGCTGGGACATTCCGTGAACGTCCTTGCTCGGACATTGCATGAGATGTACGGGATGGGACGTCCCAAGGACACTTATTTTAGGTCCGGGACATTCGGACTTGAATTGAACCAAATAGGGACGTCCCTAATAGAACGTTGTGTGCTATTAGGGTAGGATTCTGCCTCGGATTTTGCAATATGACGACAGGGTGTTCATGAAATTTTCCACCATTGGTTAGACGAGGTCCGCATGCCGATTTTTCTGGGGTGAAGTTATTAACTACAATTTTTTTACATCGACATGCAATTTTGAAACACGGAAGTTCCCTTTAATTTTCCACAGTTTTTCGGATCGTGTGCCATCAATTCATTATTAGCGCTTCAGTTGGTTTGAACTTCTGAATATCACAACAGAGGCAGTATAATATCGCGGAAAATCACGAAAATTCTTCACAAAAAGAAAAGCGCTTTTCCTTATGCATTGTACACTTACGGCGGCTAGGCACCCGCCTATTGCTCATATTCTGATGGGGTTGATTATATAATATGATGCCTCAAAAAAGCATGCACTTTAAAATAGGAGTACGTCACCTGATACCATTTCCTGGTCGCGATTTTCCTAAATATACTGCACGCTAGCACAAACCACGCCCACCATAATACGTCATATCTCATACTGTGCTCCAACGCAAGAACTGAAGCTTTCTCGTTGTCAATCTCTTGTACGCAGTAAATTACACCCAAATGGTCCACTGGTTAGCGCTGTCGACTCTCAGTCTGAAGGTTCATGGTTCGAATCGCTGTGAACTCGAACTTTTTTTTGCAACTTTTTTTTTTCACCAATGTTTTTTTACTTCATTCTGGTTTTCCTTTTTCATAAAATATTTGAAGTCAAATAGGTTAGTGCGTTTAGGATAAACAGTCTCATTTTATTCAATTTTGTTGAAGAACTCAACTTTTGAAATATATCATTAATCAATGTGTTTCTACACTCCATTCGGTTTTCCTTCCTCAAAAATATTGCAATCAGGGATAGGTTAGTTCGTTGAGGATAAACAGTCTCTGAGTTTTGCCTAAGTAAAGTACTTTGAAGATGAGATATAACGTGGTATGTGCTACTTTTTCAATCGATTTATTTATATGAATCAGCTACGTTGTGCTGTCAAAGATTAGATTTTGCAGGATTGTGCTGGGCTCGATTATATTTTGCAATGCCGTAGTAGGGGGCGTGTCTTGTGCTGCAATAGTTTATATTTAGTAAAATCGCTTCCTGGTCTGATAGGGCCTAATGTCAACTCTGGCCTTCACATAGGAAGGTATTAATTATGTTCTCATAGATAATCTGAGATCGGTCTGATCATTATAAGTCCATAAAGCATGATCTGTGTAATATTGAGACATAATTATGCCAGTTTGTCATTACATAAACTTCAGGGTCTTCCCATAACTTGATATAATTATAAGCCATTTTCACTTATCATTGATTTGAGCCTTTTCGTAATAATAATGACGAAATGAATCGAAAAAAACAATCCCTTTTAGAATGATTATTCTATTGGAACAATTTCCACTTTTCAACCTCAACACCCTTTATATATTTTTTAGACTAACCCCCAAGACACTGTGACATCTGACTCTTCATCAAATAACGAGGGCTATTACTTGTAGAGTTCTGTACAACTACTTTTTGGCGCGTATATATCTACAGTTTATCATAATAATAATAATAATTATTGGAGTGAACGATATGGTTATTCGATCAATATATAATGTCAGTTGAATTCAGTATTCGTTTCCAACAACAGACTTTCATATATTTCTTGTATTGCGAAAAAATCAAATTCCACTGCAAGATCAGACGATCATTCCTATATGATTATTAAATATCTATATTTGAATAAATTAATCAAGGTTCAATGACCTTCACAATCACAACAAATGGTAGATATAAGAACATTATTTTTCTAATAGTTATCTGGTTTGTATCTTCGGTTTAATTGCTATTGTGAAGCAAACAATTGTTCGTTATGAATTATGTCAACACCTTTTTGCGCGAGTGACCTTCAATACCCTATTATCGATTTTCAGGGACCGAGCAGGAACCAACTGATATCTAACATTCGGATTTCATCTAAATGTACTCGCTTAAAAAGCATCAGTATAATCAGCATAGGCACAATCAGATATCTTCTTATACTAACAATATTACATCGCTAGCATATCAATTCCAGTGTTTTATTAGGGAAATAATATTTCGGATCTGGCTCTGCCTAAACATACAGGATGTTCTATAATATGTGGGATGTACTTCTGGAAGTGAGAGAGCGTCTCAGAATGATTTAAGCATGTTCAAATTGATTCGTTTCCGAATGACAGTGTTGAAGTTTCTAGATTCTTTCAGTTCCTCCTGCAGATTTGAGGATATCCTGATAGAATTTGGAATACGGGTTACGTTGTAGGGCATGCCACATCTGGAAAATCTACTGAAAGAAATCTGGTGGATTCATGATTCATGATGGTTCTTTCAGAATCTTCTCATTTTTCCTGTGACCGTTATTTCAAAAAACATGTTCTGTAACTCCTGTTTTCAACTTCTGGTCACGCATGAAAGAAATGTGGGATTGAAGAGCATTTTTTTCTCAAAATTTTTTTCATTCAATGCGTAGCAAGAATTTGAAAATACTATTCGAATTTTTTTTCAAATTGCTCTATGAAATAATGGTCGCTCAGACATGGAAAACTATACGTGAATAAAAATATTCTTGAAAAATCATAAGATGTATCTTGTTCTCCTGGAATCCATGAGAGGCGAACCACTAGAAGTCCACTGTGAAAAATTAGTGTGACCCCTTTAGATCATCAATTTTATTTGGCATGCCCCATACATTGTGAACTAAAAAACTATAACTATAAGAAGAAGTAACGAAAATCTTGAAATCTCAACACTCTGCAACTTTGAAAAGAAGGAGTTTTGGAGACATATAGGAACTTGTATCAATATGTTGAGACGCTCTATCATCGCTTGGGGTATCTCCCACATACAGTATGATGCAAATGTATGGAATAAATTCATTTCAAAACAAGACGACTTTCGAAAAAAAAAACAAAAACTAGAGTTTAGAACTTTTTTTTCGACGTATTTTTTCAACTAGACGACCCTTCGATGTTCAATTCTCAGTAGCAGACCTCTGCAAGATTCAATTAATCACATGATAATCCATTTTAATTCCAATCTTCTTATGCAACATTTTGACTGTTGAATAGACGATCGGTAGACCTTTCAATCAAGGTGTCACATGACCCCTATTTGTATTTGAAAAAATCGTCCATTACGTCTTTACTCCAACACCGGTGACGTAACATCTCTCATATGAATATCCATAGATGAGGCTTCAGAAATTAAAACTCAAGTGTTTTTGGAATTTTTTCAAATGTCGCCCATTCCTGAAATAATGAATTTATTCCATACATTTGCATCATACTGTATAATGAAACACCCTGTTCATCATATACCATATTTCTCTTGGTGTAGAAACTATTGATTCGTTGAATTAAGCAAATAATGTTGAAATTATTGTCGATAATGGATTTCGTACTTCTCAATTATTATATTCTGTTTGCTATTGTTGACGTTCAATTGGAAAATATTCTTTAAAATTCTTTTTTTCAGACCTAAAATTTGTTCAACCCTTGAGAAACTTCTTCCTTACCGTACTGATAATCAATGGATCCATCAACATTTCCAGATGCTCCCGCCTGCTGGTTCTCAGGCCGGGGCCTCACACCGATACCGTTGCCCCCAAAATTATCAGGCTCTTCGAACACGATGGACTGCGTATCCTTATTCGCCTCATAATTGACACTACCGCTCTCGTAACCTTTCAGCTGCCCTTTGATCTGCCTCTGGACCCTCTGACCGTTGCTGGGCCAAGCGTAGCTCAACCTGGTCCAGGCGAACTCCTCCTTGAGTCCTGCTGCGGACACGGAGATCACCAGGAAAAAAGAAGCGCTGAACACGGCGAGAAGATTCATGGTTTGATGGTCAACCGAGCGGTCAACCTAGACAACCTCGAGTATAAGTGGATATCGTTAGACTGATCGACGTTTGAACAAAATCTCGAATAAATAAGAGTGTATGTGTGTTCGATGTGTGTAAACAATCAACATCGAATAGTACGGGAGACGGGGAATTATTTTGTTCATCATCCAGGGGCGCTGAATTTGGGTATTCCAGGAAAGGGACAAAGAGGGGCATAAATTACATATTCAGGTAATTCTGCACCTATCATGCGATGAGTTTTTTTTCGAAAAATTTTTTTGGTACTTACACGAATCTGATAATGAAAATGTGAACAAACCACTATTCATCGAGATATTTCAAGAAAAACTTCGAATTTTCTCCTTCTTTTCCCCCTTGTGTTGGATGTATGTACAGCTAGTTGCTCTTCGTATTTTGTCATTGAACACTTTATAATTATGATTTAAATATAATTTTTATGGAGAGTTCTTCATATCTAGTGAACAAGCATCCCTAATAGCACACGACGTCCTATCCAGCGTACTGATCATATTTCAGTTTGCAGTATACGTTTGGAGGTCATAAAATCAAACTATAATTTTGATGTTTAATATTTTTTCAACGTATTTTCATGAGAATTTCAACTTTTAGTGACAGTGATATAGGGCATTTCCACCAGTTTGCAATAACACTCCGTTTCGAACTGTGAACACGGCAAACAAAAACGAAATTCCTTTTTGCGGCTCTATAAAAACACTGGAATACAATAACAGATCGCAGTTGTGGCGAAAAATCGCCATCAATTATTGTTCAACAAACATTTTGAGCGATTGATACGTTAAAATCCATCCATCAGCTGAAATCATAATCATGAGAGACTTCAATGTACACAACGCAGCCTGGCTCAAATTCTTAAACAAAACTGATGATGCGGGTCGTCAAACTGAGGCCTTCGCCATCACTCACGGTCTAGAACAACTAGTCGAACTACCAACCAGCATTCCAGATGTCAACAAGCATTCTGCCAATACATTAGATCTTTCTCTCACCAGCAATCCTGATCCATATAGAATAGAAGTTTGTGCCCCACTCGGAAACTCTGACCACACCCTCAACTTTACAACCTGCTCTTCCCATGTACCATCCAGCACCACAATTCCCACCCGTCTCATGTGGCATTACAATTCGGCCGACTGGGAAAGTCTTCGTATGTTTTTTTCAGCGTTCCCATGGAAGAGAGTTTGTTTCTCCTCAGCAGATTCAACACGATGTGCTGAGACAATTTCTGAAATCGTCATGTTGGGGATGCAAACCTACACACCGAACACTGCAAGGAGGACATCTTCCGATAAGGCCTGGTTCAGTAGAAACTGCTCTAGAGCTGTTGCTTCCAAACAGGCAGCATTCCATCGATGGCAGAAAAATCCAGGCCCTGAGACAGGAGCAGAATATGTCGAGGCTAGAGGCATATGCAATGAGACAATTCGATTATCAAAGGATGCTCATAATGCCAAAATGAGATCAAAACTCGTTGAATGTCCTAACGGATCCCGTTCATCTTGGTCCTTCGCCAAAGCTGTAGGAAGAAACTTCACTTCCAGCTCGTTTCCTCCTCTAACCAAGGAAGATGGAACACAACTGCCCAGGAGAAAGCCAACATTTTTGCGCATCTATTTGCTGGAAATTATACTCTGGATTCATCGAGAAAGCAACCTCCAAATATAACGACAATTGAAAGTCATATGCCCGGGATCACCTTCCGCCAACGTACTATGAGGAAGATTTTGATGGGTCTCAACACCAACAAAGCTTGTGGCTCCGACGGAATCCCACCGATTGTTCTCAAGAAATGTTCTCCCGAACAAACACCTGTTCTCTGCAAGTTGTTCAACTACTCTTACAAATTGGGGATATTTCCGTCCCACTGGAGAAGTGCAAGAGAACAAACAGTTCCTAAAAAAGACGAGAAGATCCTACCTACCAACTACAGACCGATCGCACTGCTATCTATTATTTCAAAGATCATGAGGAAAGCTATCAACACCGAGCTCATGTAATACCTGTAACATTCAGGTATTATCAACGATAGGCAATATGGCTGCCGTCATCAAAGATCAACTGGTGACCTGATCGCTTACGTCTCACATATATGGCAGCAATCTATTGAAAAATATGGTGAAACCATAGTCGTGGCACTAGATATCTCCAAAGCATTCGATCGAGTCTGGCACCACGGACTACTCGCCAAGCTTCCATCTTATGGCTTGCCTCTTCAGCTATGTTCTCTGGTAGCTAGTTTTCTCTCAAACAGGTCTCTCCATGAAGTGGTCGACGGAGTTTCATCTGACTCTCTTACCATAAATGCTGGTGTTCCGCAAGGATCAATTCTAGCACCAACATGATTTCTACTTCATATAAACGATTTGTTGGAAGCAACTCCATGCTCAGTACATAGCTTCGCGAATGATAGTACCCTCCATACCGCCTTCTCTTCCAGGGCTCCGATACCAGCCAGGCAAATCAGAAACGAACGAGGGAGGAATGTTGACAACATAAATATAGACTTGGCAACAATTCTCGAATGGGGATTCAATAACTTGGTAGATTCCAATGCAAACAAAACAGAAGCATGCCTTTTCTCTAGAAAAGCTGATCTCACTGTGCCAAATATAAGCATGTCAGGACTAACCATACCTTTGAAGATATTCATTATTTTGATGCTTGGTATTGCTATCAGCAATAACCTTTCTTGGAAAAAATCACCTGAGATTAATTGCGAGAAGTGCATCCCAAAAACTTGGTTTCCTGTTTCGGACCAGGAGCTATTTCACTTCCACTCAGCTGCTTATGTTTTATAAGGCACATATCTGACCTGTCCTGGAATACTGTTCCCATATTTGGAGTGCAGCACCCAATTATTATTATCATTATAAACATACCCTGAAACTGTTGGATTCTGTCCAAAGAAGGGCAATTCGTCTCGTGGGTGATGCCTCGCTCACAAACTCACTCACTTCTCTGAAACACCGTAGAAAAGTTGGGGATCTGGCTCTATTTTATAGATATTCTCATGGACGATGCTCTTCTGAAATATCAACAATTGTACCTTCCTTGGCAGTTCCCTCGAGATTAACCCGTCGAGTTGAGGCTTTGCACCCCTTCGTGGTCACTTCGGAGACCTGCGGAACATCTCTGTCCAAAGACTCGTTCATCCAACGAACAGCGAGGCTCTGGAACACATTGCCAAGGTAGGTGTTTTTCGAGGCATATAACCTCCAGAAATTCAAGAATAACACCAATTCCTACCTCATTTTCCTTGGTTCTCGCGATGGTCTCTGAACATTACACGATATCCCTCTTCGTGGGAACCAGAACATAAAAAAACAATTATTCGGATTTCATTTCGATTTCTTGCAAGCTTCAAACGTTCGAAAAACTGAAATTTTACTAGTACGCTGGATTCCTGTTATCACTAGTTTTCAAAAGGCGGGGTCATATCAAGTCATAGAGTTACGTTTGAAAAAATCATGTTGAGGGTGGTGTCAGCTAGGCCTGGAGGAATATATTCTCGATATTGCTTGCAAGAGGTTGGTGAATATATCACATAGTTGATGTATCTCGGGAATTTTTATAAAAATATTCACTTTCCCGCTAACGAATTTATTCCAGTTAAAGTCTCCAAAATTGTCTTTATACTGTAGTTGTGAATTAATCTTCCTAAAATTCATTCCATCAGAGATGTTTTAATGAACACATTTCAAATCCCATTCCAATTTTCTTGTCATTTGGCAAAAAAAATCGAATCAAGGAAAGTGAAAAAAATCGCGCTCGCGTGAGAAACAACGGCAATATACAAATGAACAACAACGATAATTACCTTTATTGATGATTTCGTGTTCCTTGTGGTTTGCGGTATTGAATTTTTCATATTTTTTGTGGTTGCTTCAAATGATATTTTCCCGAAACATCTTTCTAATTATTCACGCATGAACAATACCCAACAATTAAACTTAGGCAGACATTAATACACTCCTATTCTGAGAACCAATGAAATTTCTTGAATATCGCAAAACCATACATTTGTAGTGATAAAAAAATACCTTGCCCTCAATCAACTTCTAATAATATACTTTGCCAACAACTGTTTCAAGGCAAATTGTCCTCATACTGAAGTTGTGTATTAATCTCTATAAAATACATTCGAGAAATGTTCTCAATGATGAAAACATTCGAATTTGTTGTCAAATTTGATCGTCATTTGGCATAAAATCTCGAATCAAGAGAAGTAGACAAAAGCGCTCTAGCAAGCTCTCGAGATTTTTTCACTACTTTGTTTCTCGATTGTTTGCCATGACAATCGAACTTTCATATAATTGAACATGTATTCATCGATGAAAACAGTATCTCTTATGTATTCACCCCCGATGAAATTGGTTCATCCTTTTTTATCGATGTCAAAATAACTCGTCATCGTCAAATAGCGTTTTCTGTGGAGGAGTTGTTTTATCGAATGTAATACAGAGGTGTGCACAAAAAACGACTAGAGCTGTAACTTCTGAATCCTTCGAGATCGAAATTTGAAATTCGGTGGGTAGCAACTATACCATATTATTCATTTATTGACGAAAAAAATTATTTCATCCCTTCCGGTCTAACCGGAAGTGACCCAAACTTTTGATTTTCGAATGGAACCCCCTGTATATTTTCCCATTTTCAGATTCAGGGTATCATTTTACATACACCAGTAGTTTTTCCGGATCATTTTGTGTGGAACAGAAAGAACAACAAAATTAACTCCACATCAATTTTTATTATTTTCAGTAGCATAGGAAGAGGGTCGATGAAAAATTAGAACAAATGCTCAAATCGACCCCCATTTTGTGCAATGCATTGCTGACACCTTCTAGCTGGACTAAAAGATGCGTTGTGTAAAAATGCTTGGGGTATATTGCGGCAAGCCCCTAATATTCGATGCCTAAGGATTTCTATATTTTCTGGCTGAAATAGATAAACTTGATCCTTCAAGTAACCCCAAAGGAAGAAATCCATGACTGTCAAATCTGGACTGCGAGCTGGCCACCGTATCCATTTGTTCCTATCCACCTTTCTCCAAAGTGTGTATTCAAATAAGTCACATTCAAACGCGTATT